TGTTTGTGTGTGATTGTGTGTGTGTGTGTGTGTGTGTGTGTGTGTGTGTGTGTGTGTGTGGATTCTATCAGTTCTGTTCCACTGGAAAATCCTAATACAATATCAAAGGTGATGTATGAACCAAGAAACGTTCTGGAAATTATTTTTGGTGTACTCTTACTAATTCGTATAATAAAGTATCATTCTTTCTGTTTTTCAGATGAGGAAATTGAGATAATAGGAGGTGAAGTCATTCATTTTCACAGAGCTAAGTGACATGGATGGGGTATAATGATGGTATGTTGGTATAATACAGAAACATAGTAAACTGTCACTGAATTAAGAACATTTGCAAAGAACACAATAAATTGTCTAAACCTTGAAGTATTATATATAAACATCAATACAAGTTAAAATGAGATAAATTATGAGATGTTACATAATTAAAGCAAAATGAAAATCATAGCAAAAATTACTAAGGGCACTACGGAAATTGAAGAAAAGTAGCTGTGGAAATAGAATATACATAAAAAGCATTAATGAATACATGGAACTCCAAGAGTCTTAGGGCAGTTAAGAGTTGCAGGCAATATATGTGGGAATAGTGTAGCAGGTTCTAAGTAAACAGAGAAATGAAACTAGATAGAAGACCAAGTTATGACAATTCTATGGAAAAAAATAAGGGAGACAGAAACAATAGAGCAAAGCTGCATGTGGCTTGATTCTGATAACATTAGAAAGAGAAATAAAAATATTCCATTCCATTTTTAAAAACAAACAGAGTCAAATGCAATGGTATATGACTGTAATCCCAGACCCCGGAGAGGCTAAGGAGGAAGTATCACACTTTGAAGGCCTTCTGGCTATACAGCAAGTTCAAAATCAGTCTGGGCAGGAAAGGATGAGATTCCATGTCAAAACAAATAAATATGGAGCTAGAGAGATGGATCAGTGGTTAAGAGTACTTGCTGCTCTTCCAGGGAACCCAAATTCAATTCCTATCACCATGTTAGGCTCACAACCACCTATAACTACAGTTCTGAGGGATCTGACACCTTCTTCTGACCTTCTCAAACACACATACACATAAAAATGTTATTAAAAATAAATAAGCAACAGCACATTTTGTGACTGACTGGGCATGCAGAACCAAGAAGAAAAATCAAGAAAAAATATATAACTTGAAGGAACTATTTAAACTGTATCTTATTGATTTAGGAGAGCTTATTATTAAATTTATTTCAACTTTGAAAGCTACTTAATAGAAATATTCACAGAGACCCACAACCAGACATTATAAGGAGAGAGAGTCTAAATTGGAGGTTTCCATCAGGCCTCTCCTCTCAGAGATCTTGGATCCCCACAGAAGATGGGGAGGAAAGACTGTAGGAGTCAGAGGGGATGAAGGACACCCAGAGAACATAGCCCACAGAATCAACAAAGCAGGGCTCATATGGGCTCACAGAGACTGAAGCAGCAAGCACAGGGCCTGAATGGGTCTGCACCAGGTCCTCTGCATATACATTATGGCTGTTAGCTTGGTATTTTTATGGGACTCCTAACAGTGGGAGCAGGCGTGTCTGACTCTTTTGCCTACTCTTGGGACTCTTTTCCTCCTACTGGGTTGCCTTGCCCAGCTTCAACATAATGATATGAGGACTTTGGCCTTGTCTTACTGTATCTTGTTTTGTCCTATTTGGCTATTGTCTCTTGGAGGCCTGCTTTATTCTGAAAAGGAAATGGAGGGGAGTGGATCTAGGGATAGAGCAGAGTTAGGAGGAATGGAGAGATGGGAAACTGTGGTTGGGATATATAGTGTAAGAGAAGACTCTATTTGCAATAAAAATTCTATTTCACCAAAATGAAAAAGAAAAGAAACACAGAAGTCTAAATCATGCTCTTGATCCCAGCCACCGTGTTTTAAGAGAAATCTAGATTAACTAGCACTCAGAGTGATCAGATCTAGGAACCAGATAAACACAAAACAAAGAAAATGCCAAGTTACCCCAGAGGTACACACAATAGTAAGAGAGCACAGAGGAGTAATGAACAGACATCTACCATTTGAAGCACTGTTACAAAGAGGTGATCAATTGTTCTACAGTAGCCCATGTTTTCAGTCAATGGGTAAGTGATAAGCAAATTCTGGACTTGACATAGAATGGTTTATTTAATTGTCAAGAGAAGACAGATTGTCAATGGAATCATCCAACATGCAAAGTATTCTTTTCTCTAATTTATTTATTCCTCTATAATTTTCATTTCCCATGTAACTCTTATATTTTACCTTTCTGAATAAGATATGCTGACCCACTTTTGCTTCTGGTCTTGGTCATGTATGCTTTACTTTGCTAATGAGAAATTTATCAATTTGATAAAAATGTAATTTTTACATAATAATTTGGTATTTTCACTTCTAATTTTTTAAGATGTGCTTATTTACTTATGTATGTGTGTGCATGCCTGTGTGAATTTATGTGCACCATGTACATGCAAGTGCCTTCAGAGGCAAAAAAACATTGGATTCTCTGAAACTATAGTTACAGGTGGGTGTGACCTGCCTGAAGTGGTGCTAGGAACCAAACATGGCTCTTCTACAGAAGCAGTAAGCACTTTTAACCACTGAGCCCTCTCTCAAGCCCCTCAACTTTCACTTTATGCTATATCATAATCATGAAAAAATCATTATTAGACACCACCCATAAGGTCAGCTGACCACCAACTATGTAAGTCTAATCAAGCTCATCCAAGCTGAGCAATTGACAGATGGCTATCTACAGATATATATATATTCCAGCCAAGGTCAGTTAAGTGTTGATAAGATCACCTGAACTCTGTAAATTCATGATCTCAGTAAACTTTTGCTGTCACATGACAATGAGGCTATGAAGTTATCAACTCTACAGCAGTATTACATAGGATTATTTATATAACATCTACACTTCAAAATTTAAGAGCCAGAAAGCTTCTTATCTCTAGGAATAAGCTGAACATTGAGGGATCCATTTTCCCCAAGGTTAACATGAGTTCCAAACTTCTTTTCACATAGTAATGGTATTATGGATAAATGTAAAATAAGGACTATTTTCCTTCCTTATTTCATTGTCAACAACATAAATTAGAGAAGTAAAGGCAGGAAACACTTCTTAATATGTAAATGTTATATTTATACAGACAGCAGGTGATGTCTAATCTGTAGGTAATATCATTTATAAACTCAATAAGGTAATCTTACCTGTGTTACTATAAAGTTAGCCAAGAAATAATTTCCCTTTTCATATGTGTCTGCAAACAAGAAGAAAATAAACAGTTACCTGCTTCAGTTGTAGCAGATAATCTCATGTTGAGTCTGAAATATCTAAAACTGATCACAATGACTGACAAGGTATTCTTCATCTTCCTGAGAAGCAATAAAGATACTAAGCAAGCACTTTCCTTTTGTGTTTTGTTTGTTTGTTTCCTTTTGTTTTAGAAAGGCTCTCATTCTCTAACTCAGGCTATCCTGGAACTTATATGTAGCCCAGGCTTGCTTTGAATTCCCTCTGTTCTTTCTTCCACTTTCCATTTCAGGTTATTATCTGGCATTTGCTTTCTTATACACCCAGGACCACTACCTACAATAGTCTGGGCCTTACCACATCAAACACTAATTAAGAAAATGTACTACAGGCTTTCCCAGAAGCCAGTCTCATGGAGACATTATCTCAATTGAGGTTCCCTCTTCTAACATGACTGTGTCTTGCATCAACTGAACATCAACTAGATAGCACAACTATTTGACAAAAATCCCAGTACCAGCATGAGAAACCCCCACTTGAGTCAGAGTAGTCTAACAATAGACTATTGCTATTGCCCTTGATTGTTTCTCAGAGGCTAAAGGCAAATCACTATTTCTGAAGACACTGCATACTTTGGACATAGGACTCAGAAGATTTGAAAATCTCCTTCCCGTGATCCAGCCTTCAGAGCACCAGTAAGTACTAAGTGAACTATCAAGGGAGGGGAATAATCAATATTCCTATCCAGCTGTGACATCTAGGAACTAGAACAATGGCCAGTATGACAAGATATCCCTAAAGGTACAATAGTGGCTTGGTGGCAACCAGCTGCTGTCCAATTAGACTTCAGGTTTACTCAATAGGCTAGAAATTATACCTAGTACTAGAAACCTAGACAACTACCTGGGCCTAATGAGTTGATGGATTTTAGAGGAGAACCTACTACCATCACTTTACTAGATCAGCGTAATTCCTAATTGCATCTTAAAATCTATCCTTACACCCACAGATAAATGTAGTTCACAACCCTCACCAACAAAGCTTCTTTTTTTACAGCAAACAGACACCATAACAAAAAAAGAAAAAGAAAAAGAAAAAACAACACAGATGGTCATAATGCAGAGACCAGTGGCTCATGGATAGCCCAACCTCAACCTACATCTACAATACAGCTTCTTAGGTGACATCTGGAAGAGGGGGCAGGAAGATTGTAGGTGCCAGATCAAAAAAATCTGCTGTGAGATTGCTTCTCCTAGAACCAAAAAGAAGCTATGCCCAAGATACCTAAAAATATGGCTATTTCAACAAGGCTGTTTCAACAAGACTTAAACAATGATAACACCAATATACTAGCTAACACAAAAAGGGAATCTCATGAGGTACCACCCCTAGACAAGAAGCACAGGCTACTAATGCCTGCTGAGATCTGAAAAACAAAATAGATTCTTCTAGGGATGACCCCACTAATTGGCTGTATAATACAAAGTGGACAACCTTGAAGTCACATATACACAAGCCATAAGAAACAGATTCACCGGATTCTGTTTAGGTGTTTATAAATTGTGTGTGTGTGTGTGTGTGTGTGTGTGTGTGTGTGTGTGTGTGTGTGTGTAAGTAAAGGAAAAGGAGGCCATTAATTTGAAAGGGAATGAAGGAGGAAATATTGGAGGGGTTAGAGGGAAGTAACAAATGGAGGAAGTGATATAATTATATTTTAATTTAAATTTTTTAATAAAAATTCAAGGAACTATATTCTTAAATGGATATTTTTATGTAAATTTCAGCTAAGGTCATATACTCTGGAAAACAATATAAAATGCAAATAAAGCTAATACTCAAAATACAATTTATAACAATGAAAATTAACATCATATATAGAGAAAATAATTACAGTTAGATAAACATTACAATATTTTCTTCATGGGATATGATCATAGTAATGATGTTTACAAGGAGAACATGTTAATATCCAGCTGTGTGTGTGTTATTTCATTCAGTAAAAAGAAACTAGATTTACAAAATAAATTTGCCATGTTTTCAGCTATATAAAAATCAAGCCAGGTGGTGGTGGCGCACACCTTTAATCCCAGCACTCCAGAGGCAGAGGCAGGTGGATCTCCGCGAGTTCGAGACCAGCCTGGGCTACAGAGTGAGTTCCAGGAAAGGTGCAAAGCAACACAGAGAAACCCTGTCTCAAAAAACAAAAAAAAAATCAAGCATTTTCCTAGGTATATAACAACAGAAAAACAAAAGACAATACAGCAATATAACTAAATGTGGTTGTATGTTTTCTAATTTTGTACCCTTAAAGCTTTTGTGAATATTTCACACTTCAATGAGAGTGAAGAAAACCAAGGAAGAAAGCCTTAGGTATATTAGTGAAGGAAAATAGGCTACAATTTCAGAAAGTGTGTCATTTTGCAAATAGTAATAAAAGTGTGAACAGGTTAATAGCAGCATGCCAGTATTCTTTAGAAATGTCTGAACAAGAGGGTACTCTGATGATAATGATGGGTGGCAGTTATCTACAATAGAATGAGTGAAAACCCAACTTGAAGACAGAAAACATACCAAGTATTAAGCATCCTGGCAACTCATAATTCTCAATTTTTGTGTCACCAAGATTCTCCTGAGTTTCCCTACTTATAAGGGAAAAGATGCCTGATATCGTTGGCTGACCTGAGTAGAGCTATGACCCTGCCCCATGAGGATGACTTCATGATCAGCCTGATATCTCCATCTATACTGTCTTATCAGAGTGAGATATTTCTGTGAGGATACTGGCTGAATCCATCATGTCAGGCTCATGAACTTCCAAGACTGGGGAACCATACTTGGTCTACAATAACTTGCAGTAGAATATCTGAGCTAGCCAAAGTCTCCTCAACACCACTATCTTATTGGAAATAGACAACACAGATTTTTGGATGCCACCTGTACATGGTGAGCTTCTATGACAGAGTGCTCTGAGTGACATATAGCCTCGCTGGGGGTTCATACTCACCCATGCTTTGTCCATCATCCCAAAACATCTGACCTTCAGCCTTCCCCTTATCGTCCAAAGCAACAGTCAATCCCACAAAATTTTGTCGACTATATAAAAAAAATCATTATTTTTTAATTGGTTGTAGGCTGTAAGAACAAAGAACATCTGCTGAAAATATTCTTTATCCAGAAATAAAACTCAAAGCTCCGGGTATTAAATATGTACATAAAATGACAAAAATAAAGTAAGATTAAAATATAAGATACAAGTCAACAGAATATCATTTAAAGATTAATTAAACATTTGTCAACTTTAACTTTCACAACTCAAATAGGCACACTTTCCAACATACCTGCTGCAGTAGTACAATTCCTTAGTATGAAAATCCCAGAAAATTAAAACTTCAACAGCTTTCAGGTGCCAAGGAATAAAACCCAAACTACTGATGATACCATTCAGAGCCTTCCATGAGTTAACTGTTTCAATTTTATGTACCCAACTCATTTTCACCTTTATTTCTTTGAATATCTCTCTTTGTCTTCACACATGCAAATCCACAAATCCTATTTATTATTCAAGAGCCATCTCTGGCTCTGTTCTGATAAAATCATGTCTGAGAGGAGACTGCTTTTCTGCGCCATTTTTATATGCTTTTGACATGTTTTCCTAATGAGTGTGTGTGTGTGTGTGTGTGTGTGTGTGTGTGTGTGTGTGTGTGTGTGTGTGTGTGTTGTGAAATCTCTTTGTGAGTTCATCAAAAGTACCTGGAAATTGATGCTATATTCCTGTGCAACCTCTGCAAGTGAAGGTGCTTGTTAATATCCCCCCTTTTCAATAACATGAGGAGAATCATAGGTTTCTATTCTCAAGAAAAGTTTTGCTTAGGAGAATTGTGCTATTGACTCAAGACCACAGGTGAAAGATCTCCCAGGGAATAGCTTCATGAACTTGTCTTCCTCTAGCTCCTATCAGAAGTCACCCACAGAATCCAACCAATGAAACTCTGCAATTTAGTTTCTATGCAATTTTCTTATTTATCCATATGTCCTGGTAAAGGGCCAGGTTACCAAACACTGCTTCATCATACCTGTAGTGAGTGTTCATTGCAGGCTCTTGCCAAGGCAGGATGTAGCCTCCTCTGACATGAAGGTTGATGTGGTCCAGAGGAGCTGCCAATGTTTTCCATTCACCTATTGATTCTTGGCCAGATCCCTAGAAGAAAACATATAGATGAGAAATGCTGAAGGAGAAATCAATGAAATGAGTTACATATTTTACTACAAATTCTTCCTTACTAAGGGAGCATGTTGGAAGATCAGCAAAGCACTATAAAAATGAGAAAAAATAATCTAGTTTCATTTTTGCTTAAACCTTTGAAAACCTAGTGTTTTCTGTGTAAGTCTACAGAAGGTATAGGGTGGCCAACAGGAGAAACAGGTGTTCAGATGTTTCCTGTGCCCTAATGCAGACCCCATTTATACAGATCTAGCTAGGGTAGAAATGTTTCTGGTCTGGGAAGTAAGGAAAAAGTTTTAGCCACCTCTCTAGCCTGCACAGAGCCATCTGATTCCTCCTAAAATAATTATAACTCACCGTGCTATGGTCATACCACCGGGCTCTGGGGAAATAAGCAGATATCTCAAATGTGTTCTGAAACATAAAATCAGTATGATACTATAAATATCCCAACTGGGAAGCAATATTGATTTTTAAAACACTTCCAAAGAATTAAGATTAAGATGGAATTTTATTAGTGATGTCAAGAATTTAAGAAATCTTAATGAACACACTTTGAAAACTCCTCTTCAAATATACAGAAAAAAATGTTTCAATTAATGAAATTATAAAAGTAGTGGATCACAGAATTCCCAAATGAGAAATCAGTGTTGAAAAGCTTTCATTAATATCTTGGGGGCAAACATCCTTTTGATTTTGTTGGAAGTTATCTACTTAAAAATAATGAAATAAGCAAGACAAGAAAATGTTCAAAATGTTTTCCCTGGAGTTAGTGAGGTTGTCTCAGTGGGTAGAAGCATCTGCCACCAACCCTGAAAACTTGAGTTTGATTTCTTAAGGCCAAGTGGTAGGAGGAAAGATTTCAGTCCTAAATGTTGTCTTCTAATACCTATACATGTGCACGCACAGACGAGCTCAATATTTTCTTTTAGTCTTAAATAAAATATTCTTTTTCACTGTGTCTTTGGGTCATGTGGTTGGAAGGCATCTGGTCTACAATGAGGAACTCACACTCTTCAGAACGGGGCTGATCAGGAGAGCAGGACCCAGCATGAACTGTTGGTCTATATCCCAGGTGTTATTGTCATCTGTGAACCTGAAACATCCACAATGGAAAAACTCATCCCTTGGCTTACAACCATTGCGAAGTGTTTTCCCAGATGTGCGCGCGCTCACTGTTTGGGGAAAGAGACGACACTCACTCATGGAGAAGCGCTCGAACGACGGTGCTGCCCTCAGTGTGAGCTTTGTGCATCAGGGTGTACAGATACGGCAGCAGGGAGTACCTGGTCTCCAGTACTCTCCTTGAGTACTCCTCAAAGGTTGAATTCCAGGCCACAGGATCTTGTCTCTGGAGGGGTGAGTGAGCATATGGTAAGCTCTTCACTGCACCCCAGGGATCTCAGAAGAGGATGGCTGGACACTTACTACGTGATTAAGTCACATGTCACTTCTCTCTCCATTTCCAGCCTACTGATCCCTCTGTCACCTACAAAACTAGTGTAGATGTTGTTCCTCGTTATCACCAATTCTCAGGTCCTTTGCACAGTCTAGCTTTGGCTTTGTGTGTGTGTGTGTGTGTGTGTGTGTGTGAAGCTTTACCAATAGGCCCCTATGTAGCACTGACTTATCAAAGATGGTTTGAGCAAAATATCAACTTAATATTCTGTCAAGCAAAGGAACATGTCATATTGTAGTTCATTGCAGTAGCTAGAAAAATAACTTTTCTTGGCAAAAATGCCTCCAAGAGGTGAGAAACTTGCACTATTAAGAGTTATTGATAACCTTGGAGTTCTGAACTTTGTGGATATTCTAAAACATGGATATCCTGGTAGTCTTCATGATTTGTCAGGAAATAAGAACAATAAAGAAAATAAAGCCCCTGCAATTTTGATATAAGCTGTGATTTGACATTTGATAATACAACTTCAGCATAAACAATGGCTGCCTCACCCTAGTCCCAGCATTGTTGTGGTTCCTGGAAAATGGATAAAATGCACCCAGTTGCATCCAGCGGATACACATCTCATACTCAGCATCTCCAAAGAACCCACAGATGTCTGCTCCTGTCTGAGAAGGAGCAAAATCAGAGTATCAGCTGGGTATTCTTTCAAGACAGACACATATACACTGAAATCTGGGCAAGGTGCAGCAGTTCTGATACAACTTACATAAGGTATTCCAAAGAGACTGAACTCCATCATGCCTGCAATGAGATAAAATGGTCATGTTAAATGAAGACAACCCTTAGGTCGGAGAGAGAAAGCTCAACCTGCCTCTTCCTTTACTTCATTAACAGCCCTGGGCAATTCCTGCTGAATATATTGAGAGATGGTCATAAGCTAAAACTCACACTGACAGAACAGTCAACTTTTATTGACTTCACTGCCACCCAGATGCCAATCTAAATATACATAGTATAGCCACGTTGTACACACTACAGTTCCAACCCCACCACCAGCAGAGGCCCCTGGGCACAACCACACACCAATGATGGATTTCCCCAGCTGGTCCCAGGCAGCTGTGTTGTCCCCCAGCCAGTGTCCTGCCCAGCGTCCAGAAGAGGGGAATGTGGAGCGGGTGATGACGACCCCTCTCTCTCCTGTCACCTCCTGCACAGCTCTGGTGGGGAAACAAGGAGGAAAATTTGAAGAGGACAGCCATGGAATTTCACGACAGAGAGTAGCTGCAGCTCTGTGCATGTTGCTCTAAGAGTCAGAGAACATCTTCCAGTAAAGAAGCTAGAAGTCATGCATGACAAGAGTCCCAGACAACCTCACAGCAGGGCACATGAGGTATACCTGCACCTAAAGTGAGAAACTTACTCTCTTTTTTAAACTTGCTTTAATGTATTCTTCTCTCACATATTATATCCCAATGATAATTCCCTCACCCTTTTCTCCTCTTAGTCCCTCCTCAGCCCCATCCACTCTTCCTCAGTTTCCCTTCAGAAAAGGGCAAGCCACCCAGGTATATCACCAAACACGGCATATCAGGTTGCAATAAGACTAGGCATCTCCCCTTGTATTAAGGCTGGATACGGCAACCCAGCAGGAAGAATATGGTCCCCAAAGCAGGCAAAACAGTCAGAGACAGCCCCTGCTCCCACTGTTAGGAGTCCCACAAGAAGATCAAGCTACAACACCATAGCATACATGCAGAGGGCCTAGGATAGACCCATGCAGGCTCCCTCATTGTTGGCTCAGTCTCTGTGGGCCCCTAAGAACCCAGGTTAGTTGATTCTGTAGGTTTTCTGGTAGAGGATCTTATTCATAAGAGGCCCAATTAGCAAGCTATATGTGGAGGTCAGAGGAGGGGCTGGAGAGATTGGTAAAACAAGTATTTAGGAAACAAATTCCATACCCAGGAACACATCAATCAATCAATTCCACATGTATCATTGCACAGTCTCTACAATGGGGGTTTTTCTTGAGTTCCTACTACTTGAGTCCCAGCACAGTTACCAAGGATCATTCAAGGAATACATAGACAGACCTGGGATCTGAAGTATGGTATATATGCTTTGGGGTATTATTAACATACTCCACTATACTTTAGAATGCAGAGTATGTTTTGTGCTCACAGGCATACAGGTGTAAAAGGTATGTAGACAGTTATGTAAACATGGTTTTTATCTATAGTCACACACATAACTAGGACTAGTGTGTTTTCAAAACACACTAGTGGTTTTAGGTTTGCTAAAGAAAGAATCACACATCAGGAGACACAAATGAACACTCCCTTACTGAAAGATCTCTGGCCCACAAATGTACTGGAAACCTGACAAAGGAAGGTATTTTCACAAAAAAAGTCCTAAGACACACCATGGCACATGTGTGCCTTCTCTCCTTCTCTCTCTCTCTCTCTCTCTCTCTCTCTCTCTCTCTCTCTCTCTCTCTCTCCAACACACACATACAAATAAATTAACTTAATTTCAAAAGAGGTAAAACATGATTCTTGCCCTTGGGTGTACAGAACCACCAAACTCTGGGTTATTCCGTAAGGTCACCAGGTAAGAGAATGGAGTGAATAGAAGTGATAGACCAGGCTAAAAAGTTTTTATGAAGGAAGTAGGTTTAAGCTAGGCTTTAGTGTATGTGCTGAGAGGTCAGCCCAGACAGAGTCTGTATGGTCAGCATAGGTGACTGATAAAGCAGGAAACATAAAGGTGTATGAGAACCATGGAGGTTTAAGAGTATAGTCTCCCAAGCTATTAAAAGGTACACACACACACACACACACACACACACACACACACACACACACACGAATACTAAAGGGATTTGACAGTTTGAGGAGGATGTGGGTCAAGGTCAGCAAGAGCAGTTCAAGTTCCGGAGCTGATGAAATGGTTAAAAGAAAAGAAACACTGCTAAGTGCTCACAGTGCTTCAAACATTTGTGGACTCGTTTTGCCGTTGAATGGCAATTACAAGCCAGGAGGGGCTGTGGCGGTGGCTAACTAGGAACTGGCGTTACGACTGCGAACCACCAATCTAAAAACCAGGGCCCAAGTTCTAAACCAATACAACAAACAGAAAGGAAGCAATCAAAAGCCATTCATAGAGGATCAAGCTTCTCTGGGCTGAGGAATAGACTATTTGTTTAACTATGTGAAGATGTGTTCCATCTGTTTTTATGCTGAGTTTGTTTGACTATGTACAGATGTGTTGCTGTTTTACCTTGCCTGTCTAAGGTACCTGACTGTTCTAATTAAAAGCTGAATGGCCAATAGGTAGGCAGAGTAGGGATAGGCAGGGCTGGTGGGCAGAGAGAAAAGGGGAGCCAGCCAGCCAGCTAGCCAGCCAGGGCCAGACACAGACACAGAGGAAGCAGGAAAGCAGGGTGGACAGTGAGTATATGAGGTAAACGAGCCTTGGGCAGCACATAGATTAATAGAAATGGATTAATTCAAGTTAAAAAAAAAACTAGCTAGAAACAAGCCTAATCTAAGGCCAAGCACTCATAATTAATAAAATGTCTCTGTGTCATGAAGAAAGCCTGCTACATCCCTGAAAGATCATTTATAGATTGAGCTTCCCTGAGGGAGGAGATGGAGTTGATGGGATCTGTGACCAATAAAGTTTCCTGGAGGAGAGAGGAGGAGTTGGCAAGAAGGTTCAGTCAGAAGCTAAAGCAATGGCTCATGTCTTCTCTGTGCTGCAGTCTGAGCTTTGCAAACCCCCTCTCTGACAAGAGAAAATCCTGCTCTTCTAAGAACCACTCAACTGCCACTTCTTCCATGAAGTCCTTCTGGATTATTTGTTAGCTATACTTTTCCTTCTGGTTGTTTGGCTCTTCCAAACAGAGGAGGGGCTCCTTGACAGTAAGGGGTTCACTCCCACTTATCCTCCTGGAGGTCTGAGGTAAGGTTACACTTGAGGATATAAAATACCTGTTTTCTTATTTCATGGGAAGAAAAGCTTGTTTTCTGGAAGAACCAGTTTCTGCTTGGTCAGAGTGCAAGAAATATTAAATATTAATCTTGTCTTACAGAACACTGTAAAGAGGTGTTTGTGACTAAGAATTCAAGTCCCCCTCCTTGTAAGACTTTTACTCAAGTGTTTCAATCACCTCCCCACCCCACTCCCAGTAAAACCTTGCTTTACACAAAGCCCCCCTCCCCCCGCATTCTTGGAACTTAAGGTAGACCATCTCTTTCCCCTCCCCTTCATTTCCTTTGGTGCTACTTTTTTTTCTTGATTAGCCAATCATGAAAGACTGTGAGGTTGGACCACAACCAATGAGAAAAGGTATAGTCAACACCTGAGTTAGAATAAAAACCAAGTATACTTACTACTTGTCAATTCCAAAGGAAACTCCAATTCCCCAAACTCCAAAATGCAATCCAAATATCCAGAAATGTGCTCAAACTGGACTATCAGATGATTTCTAGCAATTGGTTAAAAGTCATAGTTCCTCAGGAGCTTGTGAAACTGGCTCCCCTCTACTAAAAGGAGTCATTTCCTTACCTCTGGCAAAGGGACATGTGGCTCTCCCATTAACAAGTACCTGTGGCACCAATAGCTTAGCGTGGTCCATTCTAGCCTCCAAGATCCCTCTGTGCCCACTCAAAAGTACTCGCTATACATATCAAAACCCCCACACCAGTCTCCTGGTCCTTCCCTCCTCCCAGCTACTCATCCTTTTAAAACCCAGCTATTCTATTGTCTCTGTTCTCCCATGGTCTAGCCTCTCATGCTATGCTCTGTTTCTTGTTATCTCCATTCTCTCCTGCCTCTCTAGACCTGGCTATGTCCAGTCTGCTTTTCTCTCTGTTCCAGACTCTTTCAGATGCCTCCGGCTGTTCTCTCTCATATCTACAATAAAAATGTTCCCTTAACCATACCACAGAGCTGCCATGTTTACACACCACCCCAGTGTGCTCACTCTGCTGAGCACACCCTTTAGATCAAGAGTAAAGTTGTGCCTTGTCCTAACACTTCAGCTGGAGTGGTGGTCTCTCTCTCTTTGTGATCCCAAACGTTTACATCTGATGAGAGGAACCTGGGGCTGTATAAATGAAGTGGCATTATGAAAGAACACTGAAAAAATGACAAAGAAAGCAGAAAAGATGACAAGAATTTTGCTGGGAAAACCATGGTATCAGTGTGCATCACCTCAACCTGCTGATAGCTCCTGCAAAACACGATATATTCCTCTAAGCCCTGAGAAGAGAAAAAGAGGGCTGAGGATGAGAGCCTTTGAATAGAAATGAGTGTGAGAGCAGAAAATACCATTTTGCCCTATAAACAAGCAAACAAAAACAAAAAAACCTGAACAATCTGGAATTTTTCACAACTCTGGGAGGTGGGGATGATGCCATCACTGCTGTGCTTAGATTGCAGGGGAGTTTCCTGCATGAAAGAGGTTCTTAGTGATATGTTGATAAATACATATGAGATATATATATATATGTATATATATATATAAATGAGACATATTCATATTCATATATATATGAATGTTTACAGAAAAATCTGTCTTAGACCAAAGTCTGAAAGGTGAAAGAGGATGTCTATGAATATTTTCTTCAAGAAAGCAATCAACTATACAGGCAGAACTGCTGAAAGCAAGCATTTCAGAACTCAGGGGCCACTGGTCAATAAAGGATAAAAATCATCTTCCTAAGAGAAACTGTTAAATCTTGTCAAGACAGTGAGGTTTATAACACTCTCCCTTAAGGCTTCTCCCACCTCAGCCCATTCCCTGCCATTTTGTCAGCAAAGGGCCAGCAGTTTTACAGTAAACTAAGAAATCTGAACCCCCTTCCGGTCTGTTAAAAGTATTCTCCCCCAAATACTTCAGTCCTCTAGACAATGTCTCTTCTGAGGGTTCCATGACTCAAACCTCAGATCAAGATTGAGAAAAAAATCCCACCTCTAAAGAATTAGTTGCAAAGCTGGGCAGTGGTGGCGCACACCTTTAAGTCCAGCACTCAGGAGGCAGAGCTAGGTGGATCTCTGTGAGTTTGAGGCCAGCCTGGTCTACACAGCGAGATCCAGGACAGGCTCCAAAACTACACAGAGAAACCCTGTCTCAAAACAAACAAACAAACAAAACAACAAAAAAAATTAGTTGCCAAAACTTCAACACTCCGCTGGCACCCTCATGGGTGCTAAGGCTGGGATTTCAGCTTAGGTAAAACATTTGGCTCAATTTTAAAAGTAATTTTTGAGGATTAGACTCATACAGAACTTCGTAAAAGGAATGCATATTATCGGGCATCTTAAACATTGTGCATGCCCAGGTTCCAGGACATTTCCAGACAAGAACCATGAAAGAAGGCTGAAATGAAAAGGAAGGCTGTCCTTTTGTCTTTTAAATAGGCGAGGATTTTCTTTTTCACCTTTCTAAGCAGTAAAGGACTTAAGAGGCCAGGCATCCATTGTGACTGGAGTATGCTTCATTAAGACAGTCACCTTCCAGACTCTAAGCCTTTGAACTAACTTTCTTGGCGTAATCTCTCTCTCTCTCTTTTTTTTAAAGCCAACCTTAGGAATTCGTTCTCTGCCCCTTTAAGATGCAAATCTTTTTTTTTTTTTTTTTTTTTTTTTTTTTTTTTTTTTTTTTTTTCCGAAACAGGGTTTCTCTGTGTAGCTTTGCACCTTTCCTGGATCTCTTTCTGTAGACCCGTCTGGCCTCAAATTCACAAAGATCCACCTGCCTCTGCCTCCCAAGTGCTGGGATTAAAGGCGTGTGCCACCACTGCCTGACTTGCAAATCTTTTTTTAAAAGCTGGTTGTGTGGAATTTAGAATCAGGAATGTCTTCCTCAAGGCCAAATGTATCCCTTTGTATGCAATCAATAGGAAGGTGGTGGGTCCACCGCCTCAGCTCTGAAGGAGAGTAGCAGCCAGTTTTCAACAAGTCTTGGTTCAAGGAAGGAGAATCACCTCCTCCCTCAAAGACCAGAGAAGTACTTTTCCTTTGAGAAAGGGAGGGGAAGGGAGGGAAATAAATGGCTACAGAATCCAGAAAAGTTGCTGATCAAATAAGAACAGAAAGAGCAGCCAACCCTAAGGAAAGTGGGAGAGCTATAATTTATTATTAGAAATGCCCAATATTCAACAATAACAACAAACACATCATGCAAAAATTAGAACAAAAAAATGAAAGATACATAAGAAAAAAGTAGCCAATAGAAAATGTTGCCGAAGGGACTTGGTAGAGAAGGAGTTTACACAAGATATTGTAAATATATTCAAAGAACTAAAAAAAAGCATGTCTTACTTCCTAAAGAAAAATATGACTTGTCATATTACTAAATGGATAATGAGGCACGATGGAAATTATAGGGACACCAGATGGGAAAGGTGCCTAACTTGGATGAGAGTCAAAACTTCCAGCCCAGTTAACAAAATTTGCTTAGAGGCATTATTCCTTTTACATAGAAGTATTTTAAATAAGATGATAAAGCAGCAAAGGGCCGGGCTAATGGCCTAAGCACATATGACCTCTGACTAGAAGAACCTTATTGCTTTCTCATTTGTGAACCTGAAATATCTAGGAATTTCACAAACAAGATTATTAACTGTGCTTATAGTGAAAATATTGTTAGTATTCTGAACCACCCCTGGTTCCCTTTAATAAAAAACTCCCCCCCGTCTCTCCCCCCATCCCCTCTCACCAGA